AACATCTGTGTCTGTGTCCAACATCTGTCTGTGTCCAACATCTGTGTCTGTGTCCAACATCTGTCTGTGTCCAACATCTGTCTGTGTCCAACATCTGTGTCTGTGTCCAACATCTGTCTGTGTCCAACATCTGTGTCTGTGTCCAACATCTGTCTGTGTCCAACATCTGTGTCTGTGTCCAACATCTGTCTGTCTAACATCTGTCTGTCCAACATCTGTCTGTGTCCAACATCTGTCTGTGTCCAACAGCTGTCTGTGTCCAACATCTGTCTGTGTCCAACATCAGCACTGAAACATCTGTTTGTCAGATAATCCCACAGCTCATAAATCTGATGTTTGACTTTAAAGAAAACAAATAAAAGGATTCAGATTTCTAAAATCTGTCTGATCTGAACTGTGGAAAATGGGAGAAAGTGGTTCTCCACCAACATTGTTTATGGTGGGGATGGTGCTCTGCTGACCTCAACTCAGGACGTTGTGGGTCGGTGGGCAGAATACTTCAAAGACCTCCTCAGTCCCACCGACACGTCTTCTCATGAGGAAGCAGAGCCTGAGGACCCTGGGTCAGACTTTCCTAACTCTGGTGCTGAGGTCACTGAGGTGGGTAAAAAGCTCCTCAGTGGCAGGGTGCCAGGGGTGGATGAGATTCACCAGGAGTTTCTTAAGGCTCTGGATGTTGTGGGGTTGTGTTGGTTGACCCGACTCTACAAAATCGTGTGGACATCGGGGGCAGTTCCCCTGGATTGATAGACCGGGGTGGTGGTCCCCCTATTTAAAGGGGGACCGCAGAGTGTGTTCCAACTATAGGAGGATCACACTTCTGAGCCTCCCTGGTAAGGTCTATTCAGGGGTCCTGGAGAAGAGGGTCTGTAGGATAGTCAAATCTCAGATTCAAGAAGAGCAGTGTAGTTTTTGTCCTAGTTGTGGAACAGTGGACCAGCTCTACACCCTCAGCAGGGTCCTGGAGGGTTCATGAGAGTTCAACCAGTCTACATGTGTTTTGTGGACTTGGAGAAGGTGTTTGACCGTGTCCCTCGGGGACTCCTGTGGGGGGTACTCCGGGATTATGGGGTACCAGGCCTGTTGATATGACCGGTGCTAGTAAGTCGGACTTGTTTCTGGTGAGAGTTGGACTCCACCAAGGTTGTCCTTTGTCACCGATTCTGTTCATAACTTTTCTGGACAGAATGTCTAGGAGCAGCCGAGGTGTTGAGAGGATCCTTTTTGGTGACCTTAGGATCACATCTCTGCTTTTTGTGGATGATGTGGTCCTATTGGCTTCATCAGATCCTGATCTCCAGCTCTCACTGGAGCAGTTCACAGCCGAGTGTGAAGCAGCCGGGATGAGGATCATTGCCTCCAAATCCCAGACCATGGTCTTGAGCTGGAAAAGGGTAGGGTACCTTCTCCGGATCGGGGAGGAGGTCCTGCCCCAAGTGGAGGAGTTTAAGTATCTCAGGGTCTTGTTCATGAATGAGGGAAGAATGGAGCAGGAGATCAACAGGTGGATTGGTGCTGCATCTGCAGTGATGCGGGCGTTGTACCGGTCTGTTGTGGTGAAGAGAGAGCTGAGCCAGAAGGTGAAGCTCTCAGTTTACCAGTCGGTCTACGTTCCTACCCTCATCTATGGTCAGGAGTTTTGGGTAGTGACTGAAAGAAGGAGATCACAGATCCAAGCAGCTGAAATGAGTTTCCTCTGCAGGGTGTCTGGGCTCTCCCTTAGAGATAGGCTGAGAAGCTCAGTCATCCAGGAGGGACTCAGAGTAGAGCCGCTGCTCCTCCACGTCCAGAGGAGCCAGTTGAGGTGGTTCATCTGGTTAGGATGCCTCCTGGACTCCTCCCTGGTGAGGTGTTCTGGACACGTCCCACTGGGAGGAGACCCAGAGGAGCTGGTCCAAGTGTCTGGAGAGAGGCAAGTCTGGGTCTCTGCTTAGACTGCTGCCCCCGAGACCTGACCCTGGATAAGAGGAACAAAACAGATGGGTGGTCTGACGGTCCGGTTCTGTGTTCCTTATTGAAGTCCATAACATTCTAGAGTTATCAGTTGATTTCCTTCAGAATGACTCGTCTTTATTCCTTTGTCGTCGGCGGCCATCTTTAATGTAGATTTTAGTCAGTTTAATTATCTGCAGACGAGTAGAAGAGAAATAAATTCAGTTTTATGAATCAGAACAGAAGGTTCAGTTCTGCTGGAGGTGGAGACCGTTGTCCTCATCAGAGGAAGGATGGTGTGTGTGTTGTTGTTTTACAGCTGTGTGTGTGTGTGTGTGTCTTGTTGTTTTACAGCTGTGTGTGTGTGTGTGTGTGTGTGTGTGTGTGTGTGTGTGTGTGTGTTCCTGCAGGAGAAGCAGGCTCAGATGGAGGGACTGAAGCAGCAGCTGCAGGAGGTGGACACTCAGAGAGAAGAACTCAATGAAACCATCAGGAAACTCAAACAGGTGATTCCTCCTCGTTTGATTTGTTTGTTATTTTTGAGGCTGGGCCTTCAGTCATTGAAGCTGTTGAGTGTCTGAAAGGTGACACCCCCTCCTGGACCCCCAGGCCCCGGCTGAAATAAAAGGTGATGCTTCCTTTGAAGCTTTAACCTTTGAGCGCTTTTACTCTTTGGGTCTTTAGAAGTCAGCAGGACCCACCTGACAGAGTTAGATAATGTTTTGTTTCAGAAACTCATAAATTATTTGGTTCAGGTTAGTCTAAAGAATTAATTTTTATCTTTTTCTAAGAGACACTCTTTAGTTTTAACATATTTATTATAAATAGTTATAATATTTGTTTACAGGATTGTCCAACATTAATAAGACATGTCCTCAAACAGGACTTGGTGGAAATGAAGATTTGATCAGATGAGTTTTGGTGGAATGGGTGAAATGGCTCTTGTAGTTGTTCTCCAGGATTGTACACATCTCAGGAGGGATTTTGACCCAAAACTCTTTACAGAAGCTCTAAATCCTTCAGGTTGTTTTGCTCCTGATTGAAACCTTGAAGCATTAGTTCCTCCACAGACTTTGGAATCTTCTAAAGAATCTGCACCTGGGCTTCTGACAGGTCTTGGGTCTAACTGATGGTGCTGGAGTGAAAGAAACTAGTTCTGTGGACAGTTGGGCTTTGTATACATAACCAGCTGAGATCAGGAGGTTCTATGGTTGGTTTGTTGGTTGGTTGGTGGGTTGGATAGTAGGTTGGTTGGTTTGTTAGTTGGTTGGGTTGACAGTAGGTTGGTTGGTTGGTTGTTTAGTTGGTTGGTTGGATAGTCTGTTATTTGGTTGGTTGGTTAATTAGATGGTTGGTTGGTTGTTTAGTTGGTTGGTCAGTTAGTTGGTTGGTTTGTTAGTTGGTTGGGTTGACAGTAGGATGGTTGTTTGGTTGGTTGGTTGTTTAGTTGGTTAGTTGGTTGGTCGGTTAGTTGGTTGGTTGGTTAATTAGATGGTAGGTTGGTTGATGGTTGGTCGGTTAGTTAGTTGGTTGGTTGTTTAGTTGGTTGGTTGGTTGGTTGGTTTGTTAGTTGGTTGGGTTGACAGTAGGATGGTTGTTTGGTTGTTTAGTTGGTTAGTTGGTTGGTCGGTTAGTTGGTTGGTTAATTAGATGGTTGGTTGGTTGATGGTTGGTTGGATAGTCGGTTAGTTGGTTGGTTAATTAGATGGTTGGTTGGTTGATGGTTGGTTGGATAGTCGGTTAGTTGGTTGGTTAATTAGATGGTTGGTTGGTTGATGGTTGGTTGGATAGTCGGTTAGTTGGTTGGTTAATTAGATGGTTGGTTGGTTGATGGTTGGTTGGATAGTCGGTTAGTTGGTTGGTTAATTAGATGGTTGGTTGGTTGATGGTTGGTTGGATAGTCGGTTAGTTGGTTGGTTGGTTAATTAGATTGTTGTTTAGTTGATTGGTTGGTTAATTAGATGGTTCGTTGGTTGATGGTTGGTTGGATAGCCAGTTAGTTGGTTGGTTGGTTGGTTAATTAGATTGTTGTTTAGTTGATTGGTTGGTTGGTTAATTAGATGGTTGGTTGGTTGATGGTTGGTTGGATAGTCGGTTAGTTGGTTGGTTGTTTAATTAGATGGTTGGTTGGTTGATGGTTGGTTAGATAGTCGGTTAGTTGGTTGGTTGGTTAATTAGATGGTTGGTTGGTTGATGGTTGGTTGGTTGATGGTTGGTTGGATAGTCGGTTAGTTGGTTGGTTGGTTGGTTGGATAGTAGACTGGTTGATTAGCAGGGAGTTTTTCCTCTCCACCGTTTGCTCAGGATGGGAGACTGTGATGAAGTGATTCAACACAATCTGCTGCTTTCTTCTTTACGTTGTTCTTTTTATCTACAGTGTCCTGAGACAACATGTGTTGGGACTTGGAGCTARATAAATAAACTGAATTGAATTGAATTAGATAGTTTGTTGGTTGGATAGTTTGTTGAACTCTGAAATGTAGATGAATTAAATGTTTCTCATCACATAAACGTTTGGGCATTTCTTTGTTTTAGGTGGTCTTAAGTTTCAGTTTAATTGAAACTATAATTAGTTGGTGTTTAGACCTGAACAGGAAGTCAAAGAGCTGATTCTGTTTATCCGTGGTGATTAAACAGAACCATGTGTGTTCCTGCAGGAGATTAAAGACACTGTGGACGGTCAGAGGATTCTGGAGAAGAAGGGAAGCGCTGCGGTGAGTTTTCAGCTGGTTTCACTCTGAGGACATTTTGAGCTAAAATCAGAGACAAAGTATTTAGCAGATTAATTTGTGAGCAGTCGTGTGTGGAAACTAATAATTAAATGTTTGCAGCTGAAGGATCTGAAGCGACAGCTGCAGCTGGAGAGGAGGCGAGCCGACAAACTGCAGGAGAGGCTCCAGGAGATCCTGACCAACAGCAAGACCAGGACAGGTACGCTCACCTGAAGCTGTGATGTCACAGGTTCATGTCACCTGGACCTGACATCAGGTCTTGAGAGACCAGGGTCTGATGTGGTCCTGTCCTCCTCTGAGGATAAAACATGAGCCGATGTTCTGACTGGAACTACAGAAGGTGTTGATATGCTAGTTAGCAGCAACATGCTACAGTTTCTGTCCAAGAGAAGACCATGTCCTCTGACCCAAGACATGATCCACTGTCAGAGACCAGGACTCCCTGATCCACTGTCAGAGACCAGGACTCCCTGATCCACTATCAGAGACCAGGACTCCCTGATCCACTGTCAGAGACCAGGACTCCCTGATCCACTATCAGAGACCAGGACTCCCTGATCCACTGTCAGAGACCAGGACTCCCTGATCCACTGTCAGAGACCAGGACTCCCTGATCCACTATCAGAGACCAGGACTCCCTGATCCACTGTCAGAGACCAGGACTCCCTGATCCACTGTCAGAGACCAGGACTCCCTGATCCACAATCAGAGACCAGGACTCCCTGATCCACTGTCAGAGACCAGGACTTCTTGGTCCATGTTCAGAGTGAGATGTGAGGCCGACGTGACTGATGTGCTGACTCAGCACAAAACCTTCAGCTCAATAATTAATGCTGCACTCTGACTTCCACAACACAACAACACAACACAACACAACAACACAACAACACAACACACAACACAACAACACAACACAACAACACAACACAACACAACACAACAACACAACACAGAT